TAGTTCCATCCGTGTGGGTGCAGATGACAAGATTTCATTCCTTTTTTCTGGCTGAATAATATTCCATTGTGTATATATACCACTTTCTAAAAAATTCATTCTCCTGTTGATGGGCATTTAGGTTGATTTCATATTTTGGCTGCTGTGAATGGTACTGCAGTAAACACTGGAGTGCAGATGGCTTTTCTATATATCAATTTCCTTTCTTTCGGACGTATATCCAGTAATGGAATTGCTGGATCATATGATAGTTCTATTTTTAGTTTTTGAGGAACCTCCATTCTGTTTTTCACAGTGGCTGTACTAATTTACATTTATGAGGATTGTCCTTTCTCCACATCCTTGCCAGCATCTATTACTGCCTGTCTCTTTGACATATGCTGTTTTAACTGGGGTGAGATCATATCTCAGTTGTAGTCTTGATTTGTGATTAATTTGTGATTAGTTAGTGACAGTGAGCATATTTTTCATATACCTATTGGCCATTTGTATGTCGTCTTTTGAGAAATATCTGTGCAGATCTTTTGTCCATTTTTATTTTCTCTAACTATTGAGTTGTTTGAGTTCCTTAGATATTGTGGTTAATAATACCTTGTCAGGTAGACACTTTGCAATTTTTTTCTCCTATCCTGTAGGCTCTTTGTTAATTTTTTCCTTTGCTGTGCAGAAGTTTTTTTGGCTGAATGTAATCCCATTTGTCTATTTTGGTTTTGATTGATGCTTTTGAGGTCTTATACACAAAAAAACTTTGCTCAGACCAATCTCCTGGAGCATTTCCCCAGTGTTTTCTTCTGGTGGTTTCATAGTTACATGTCTTACATTTTTAAGTCTTTAATCCATTTTGATTTGATTTCTGTGGATGGTGAGAAATACGGGTCTAATTTCATTGGTCTCATATAGTTATCCAGTTTTCCCTACACCCTTTACTGAAAAGACTGTTCCCCATTGAATGTTCTTGGCACCTTTGTCAAAGATGAGTTGGCTGTATATGTGGATTTATATCTGGATCCTCTATTCTGTTCCATTGTTTATGTGTCTACTTTTATGCCAGTACCATGCTGTTTTGGTTATTATAGCTTTGTAGTAAATTTTGAAGTCAGGTAGTGTGATGCCTCCAGCTTTGTTCTTTTTAGTCAGGATGAGTTTGGCTATTCGGGGTCTTTTGTAGTTCCATGTAAATTTGAGGACATTTTTTCTAATTCTGTGAAGAGTGTCATAGGTATTTTGTTAGGGATTCCATTGAATTTGTAAATTGCTTTGGGTAGTATTGCCATTTTAACAGTATTAAGTCTTCTAATCCATGAGCATGGAATATCCTTCCATTTTTTTGTATTGTCTTCAATTTTTTTCATCAGAGTTTTATAGTTTTCCTTACATCAATCTTTGACTTCTTTGGTTAGATTGCTTCCTAGGTATTTTATGTTTTGTAGCTGTTGTAAATAGGATTGCTTCTTGATTTCTTTTTCAGATAGTTCACCATTGGCAAGTTTAAACACTGCTGATTTTTGTATGTTGATAAATTCTGCAATTTCACTGAATTCATCTATCAGTTCTCACAGTTTTTTGGTGGAGTCTAGGTTTTTCTAGGTATAAGATTATGTCATCTGTGAACAAGGCTAAGTTGACTTCTTCCTTTTCAATTTGGATGCTCTTTCTTTCTTTTACCCAATTGCCCCAGCCAGGACTTCCAGTATTATGTTCTATAATACTGAAAGTGGGCATCCTTTACTTGTTCTAGTCCTTAGAGGAAAGGCCTTCAGTTTTTCACAATTCAGCACAATGCTAATGTGGGTTTTTCATATATGGCATGTATTATTTCGGGGTATGTTCCTTCTATACTGATTTTGATGAGGATTTTTAATCATAAAGGCATGTTGAATATCAGATGCTTTTTGGAGTCTGTTGAAATAATCATGGTTTTTGTTCTTGATTTGGTTCATGTGATATATCATGTTGATTGATTTGCGTATGTTGAACCATCTGCATCCCTAGGATGAATCACATTTAATCATGGTGAACGATCTTTTCAGTCCCCTTTTTAATGTGTTGTTGAATTCGGTTTGCTGGTATTTCACTGAGGATTTTTGCATCAATGTTCATCAGTGATATTGGTGTGTAGTTTTTGTTTCTGTAGTGTCTTTGTCTGGTTTTGGTATCAGGGTAATACTGGCCTTGTAGAATAAGTTTGAAATTATTACTGTTCCTCTGTTTTTTGGAAGAGTTTGAGTAGGATCAGTATTAGTTTTCTTTACATGTTTGACAGAATTCAAGTGAAGCCTTCAGGTCCTGGATTTTTTTGATAGAAGACTTTTTATTATAGCTTTGATCTCATTACTCGTGACTATTTTGTTGAGGTTTTCTGTTTCTTCATATTTCTTTCTTGGTGGGTTGTATGTGTCTAGAAATTTATCCATTTCTTCTGGGTTTTCCAATCTGTTGCCATATAGTTGTTCATAATAGTCGCTAATGAGTCTTGATATTTCTTAGGTCCCAGTTGCTATGTCTCCTTTTTCATGTCTGATTCTATTTATTTGGATCTTCTCTCTTTTTCTTAGTCTAGCTAAAGGTTTGTCGATTTTGTTTATCTGTTCAAAAAATCACCTCATTGCTTTGTTGATCTTCTGTATTTTTTTTTTGGTCTCAGTTTCATTTATTTCTGCTCTGATCATCATCGTTTCTTTTTCTTCTGATTTTGGGTTTGATTCATTCCTGCTTTTCTAGTTCCTTGAGGTGCATCACTGAGTTATTTATTTGAAGGCTTTTTACTTTTTTGATATAGACATTTATTGCTCTCCACTTCCCTCTTAGTACTGTTTTTGTTACATCACACAGATTTTTTTGTCTTGTATTTCCATTTTCACTTGTGTTTCAGGAATTTTTTAATTTACTTCTTAGTTTCTTCACTGACTTACTGGTCATTCAGGGCATGTTTTTTAATTTCCATGTGTTTGTGTATTTTCTGAGGTTCCTCTTACTGATTTCTAGTTTTACTCCATTGTGGTCAGGAAAGATACTTCATATGATTTTTTTTTCTGGCTTTTTTTTTTTTTTAAGTTTGTTTGGACTTGTTTTATAGCCTAAGACATGGTCTGTTCTGGACAATGTTCC